AGCAGAAATTTTGGAGATGGAGCCTAGGTTAATGCAACTGTTGTCATTGCCTTTTCTAGCTTCATTTCCATTTGCTCCAATAGTTTACCCTGGCCAAAAGCAACTCAGAGGAGAAAGGAGTCCATTTAAGCTAATGATTCCGTGTTGAAGTCCATCATTATATGGAAATCAAGGCAGGGACTAGTCATATCCATCTAGTCAAAAGCAGAAATAAATGATGACATATTTATATGTTTGCCTCTTTGTACTAAGCAGTCCTCCTCCTTCTTGAATAGTTCAGAACATTCTGCCTAGGAAAGGGTACCTCTAACAGAAGCCTAAGTCTTCCTACATCAATTAGCTTCATTTGTAATATAATACCTCACCATAGCCTACCATTGTATGATCATTACTCTTGGAAGAGATCAATGCACATTTTAGGATTTTAATTTACAATTTTAGAACCTTGCATTTTGAATTTAACTTTATTATCCTTCCCATGGCTGTGAACAATTCTAAATATGTTCTCAATTAAGATCTTCTACAGCAGTGGTCTCAACATTCCAGATAATGTGGCCCTAGCAAGTATTTCCCGATTCTGGATTTCCTGGGAACCAGGCACAAACATGCACGTTCATGAAGACAAACGAACTATACACTTAAACAAAAGTGGTTCAAAGATCAAGTTTCCTATTTTTATGGTGAAAAGAAATGTGTATTTAGAGTTAGCCAGTTGGACTCCTTTAAATGATCCCAATATTGTTGGCAATATCCAGGCCATCATAAACACGAGGGAGCCAAACATACCCACCCCTTCTTTTGTCTTTTACGTCTTACAGGGTATTGACTTTGGCCATATCAATGTCATAGAGTTTCCTCACAGTCTGTTTGATCTGGTGTTTATAGGTTTTGACATAAAAAAATGAATATTTAAGTATATTGTTGTCTTGTATCTTCTTCATTGCTGACACAGTATTCAGAAAAATCTTGATGATGGCATAGTGGTCAAGCTTGTTTCTCTTGGGCACACTTCAAGGGCATTTGTGCTGCCTCTGAAGCCTGGTGGTGTTGGGATTCTGGAAGGTGGATGATGTGAAGATCTTCTTTTTGTGGCCGTGAATGTCTTTCAGTTCTGCCTGCTTGGCTTTCAAGGCCTTGGTTTTGCCTTTGGCCCTGTGGAGACAGGGACTTCCTTTTTCGCTTTCAGTGCAATCTTATAATTCTCACTGCAAGCATACTTGCTCAGAATTGTTACTTAGGTAGCTCCCAGTAGAAATTGACTCAAAATTTAGAAAACTTATATCAGAACACTTCCACTGACAACAGATTCTTTTCCAGTAAGACATAAGAAATCAACCAGTTGGTAAATTGTGACGACTGGTCCCAGGTAGGGAAACAGACCCATATATATGTTCTAGCAGATGCAACGACTCTTCTGGATTTCCTAAGAATCAGGCACAAACATGCACATACATGAAGGCTCTTTCTCTCTATATATGCATATATATATATATATATATATATCACATTCTCTGAATAGTCTGTCAAAAAACAATAGTCTCTTTTAATATTAGTTGGCATCATTTGGAAACATTCGTTTCTCATCCAGTTTTTTAATTCAGATGATTTTTGCCTTTGACATTTTCACACATAACATTTTAGCAGAATCATCAGGCAGCAGTTATAAGATTTTAGCCTAGAAGTTTGTATCTGATGAAATAAGCAATGAAGAAATGTCTATCTGCTCACATTTAGACAGTTGCTTTTTGGCAAAGCGTGGCAAAAATGCAGAACACGGAGGTGAGACAACAGAAACACCTATCAGAACAGATCAGCATGGTGCAGAGACTGAGAAAATGCTACAAGCTCCCAGCTGGGAAAACTTGTAATTGCAACCAGCCAGAACATTGATACAGAGATAGCAAAATTACTAACAAGGGAAAAAGAAAATTTAGGAGACAAATAGAGGAAGTGTTTTCCTGTGTATGACAAGAAACCTAGTAAATATGACAAAGTGTCTGTCAAGAGCAGAATGTTGAATTGGCGTGAAGGAAATGTAAAATTGATTACTATAATGACAAGCCACATAAAATGCCATAATAACAGCACAGGAACTCATTTAAAATAAAAGTGAAATAAAACACTATCTCAAATTAAGGGAAGAAATGTGAACAAAACTAAACTTCTTGCTTGGGGCAATTCTTGTAACCAGAAACTATAGTCCAAAGCAATCAAAACTAATGATAGTATTATCATAACAGAAGAATACACATGGCTCTAAGGATTTTTGTAGTATATGTATCTATTGCCTGAGCTCCCATAATATGAGGAAAGCAGCAATCTAGGACCTAATACCCCATTTACAATCAAATTCAAACAAAGCTATGCTATCATTTCATTTCTAAGCCTCAAACCATTTCTTTCTTAATTCACTCATAGCAAAATATAAGAAGGCAGAGATATGATTCAGTTATTAATACAGAATAGTAGCACTATACATATTGATGTCAAGTCAGAATTTACCGTTATAGGTGGTTATTATTAATGAATTATTTTTCTAAAGTCAGAGAATTTTAGGCATCAGAAAGACTGTATCTCTCATTTGCAAAGGTTTTCACTTCAAGGCCCTTTAGCTGTTACAGAATTTCAAGCAACTAGATGAACTCTTGCTAAATAACTAAATGAATATGTGGTAAATATAAAGACTCTGTTTGTACAGTGAATTGATATGGACTTCAGGCTATTCCTTACTCTAAGTTACTCTGTATTTGGGAATTTCCTCAATTAGTGATTGATGTGGTAAATTTCAATCAATTGCAGTGGTGTCATCCCTGGGCCAGTGGTCTTCGGTTCTATAAGAAAGCAGGTTGAGCAAGTCATGTTGGACAAACCAATAAGCAGCTTTAGTGCATGGTCTCTGCATCAGATCCTGCCTCCGGGATCCTATTATTTGAGTTTGTCCTGGCCTTGTTTTTTTATTATTTATTTAAAATTAGAAACAAGCTTGCTTCACATGTCAGTCCCAGCGCCCTTTCCTTCCCTTCCTTCCCAGCTGCCCCCACCAGGTCCCGCAGCCCCCACCCAACCCCTACTCCATTCCTCAGGGAGGGTGAGGCCCTCCATGGGGGATTACCAGAGTCTGTCATTTTGTTCAGGGCAGAGCTCAGGCCCTGCCCCAAGAGTCCAGGCTGAGAAAGCATCCCTCAATGTGGGATGGGCACCCAAAGTCCATTTGTATACCCGGGATGAATACTGATCTACTACCCAAGGACCCAAAGATTGCCAAGGCCTCCTCACTGACACCCACATTCAGGGGGTCTGGATCACAGCCATCAGTCTGGAGTCCATGAGCTCCCCCTTGTTCAGGTCAGCTGTTTCTATGGGTTAAACCAGCCCAGTGTTAATCCCTTTGCTTATCAGTTCTCCCTTTCTGTCACTGGATTCCAGGAGTTCAGTTCAGTGTTTAACAGTGGGTGCCTGCCTCTACTTCCATCAGTCACTGGGTGAAGGTTCTGTTTCGCAGACCCTCTGACAGTGGGATTGTAGGCTGGCACTCCCCTGATTCATGTCTAAATTCCATATATGAGTGCGTACATACTGTGATTGTCTTTTTGTGACTGGGTTACCTCACTCTGGATGGTTACCTCTAGTGCTGTCCATTTGCCTGCAAATTTCAAGATTCCTTTATTTTTTTCTGCTGAATAGTACTCCATTGGGTAAAAGGTAAATTTCTCCTTTTAATGAAGGAGCATGATATGGAAGTTTAAGTCAAATAAACCTTTTACTCCAAAGTGACTATTGGTCATGGTGTTCTCTGGCAGTAACAGGAACCTTAACTAGGAAAGTGGACTTCTATAAACTCTGTTCAATGTAGTGAAAAAAATTATCTTAAATTGTCTGTGAAATGCTAGGTAAACTGATCAAGAATTTAAGACACTTCAACACATGAAACAAAACAATGTAATTTACATGACTTGTTTGCAGTGTTTATATTGGACAGTTATTACATGTAATGGGTTAGGTATGCTTTCTCTCCTTGAGATATTATAATAGAAGACTGGCCCCTAGTATTATGTTATTGAAAGGGAATAAAATGTGGGGACACCAGACCTTGAGCAGAAACCCACTTCCCCTTTGGCCTGGGAGCAGGCAGCTGTGTAATGTTTACTGAAAACAATTCAGTGCTTTAAAGCTCTTGATAGGGCTCAGATAAGGGCTCCCTCACTGAGACACCATGACTTTCAGACCCCCTAAGGCTAGATGCCTCTTCCTGTCCCCGCCCCCTGGGCCGATTCTGGGGCCTGAGATTAAACCACCAGCCTGGAGGGTGAGAAGTGGAAAGAATGGTATGTAAATGGATGGCAAAAGTCCTTAAAAAGGGAAGCTCTTTTATCTTGGAGAGACTTCTCCTGAGACTTCTCTCTCCTAAGGGGACTTGGAATCTCCTCCTAAGCTGACTTGGGAAGCATTAAGTTTTCTTAAAGCAATCAACCGGTCTCTGTGTCATCTATCCTGACCACCTCGCTACATTCTCGGCTGCAGGCCGCACAGCAGGTGCGACAATAAAACGTGAGGCAATTACATCATAGTAGTGCGTCCTCCAAATCATTAATGTGTTTATAAAATAACTAAGTATTTTTCAGGGTAAGTTCTTATTTTAAAATGAGCCAATTTATCCCCTCCTATTTCTCCAAATTGCTGTCTGGTGATGTGTTTGGCCCCTGTCATGTACTCCTCCTGGTCCCTGTCATGTACTCTTCTCTCGCTTTCAATGATATCGAGAAGTAAGCTTGTGCTGGCGCCGAGTCCTCATGTGCTAGTCGTCAGGGATCTCTAAGGGAACAGAGTTGATTGAATAAACAATTTGATGCCCACTACCACCTATCAAGCACTGAAGACCTGGGAGATTACTGTAAGGTCGGTCGGGCTCTTTCATCACAACAGGATAGATACTCTCACAAACAACAATGTGAGGAGGCCTTTTTGTGACATCTTAGTGACATTGGACTTATTTTATTCATGGGCCTCTTTATTTCAGCACTGTATTGAAAAGTATTACTCAGTGTAGGGGAAGAGCTTTTTTTTCTTCAGGTAATTCTTCCCGCAAATGTCACACCCAGAATCTTGTGTCTTTGTTGAGTCCAGGTCTAATAAAGCAGAAATTCAACATTAACCATCATATCGGGTAAATAAACCTCTTCCCACTGAAAATCATCTGGACACCAACATTTGTAAGAATAATAAAGGTAGCAAACTAATAATTAAATGAAGGGAAATACTGATGACATGCCACTTAGCTATCTGGATCAAGGAAGAAAGCAAATGGTAGTTGAATGCTATTTAGCAAAGATAATAATAAGAATCAAATATTAAAGAATATCACAGCTAGGGAAATTTATAATTATATTGAATAAATTTTATAATAGCATACTTCTGTGAACAAGCAATATTAGAAAGATAAAGGAGTCCATTAGATTAAATCTAGAAAAGAATACTAATGAGATCAAAATGAAGAAATAATTAATGCAAATTTAATGATTGTAGTATTAGAAGACAATGAGACTCTGAATTTATAAATGAGAACACAATGGATTCATATTCTCTAAACCCATATAATCCCAAAAGTTGCAGTTTTCAAAGTCTGCTTTTTAGAACTGATGTCCTCCACTAAAGCCCCATTAAAGCAAGCAAGTTTTGGGAAATGCTGAACCTTGTATTACCTGGTTATGTGGTAAAGGACAACTTATATGGACCAAGCACAGTTTATTAACCAGAGTAGGCATCATGAAATAGAACTTGAAGGAATGGTCCGTTTATGAGCAAACAATGTTCTAATTTATCAGCTTCAGCTTCTTGGGTTAAGTTGTCTGGTCCAAGAACATTCCTGAGGTCATCTCTGTAAAAGATGAACAATAATTACTTCTGACATATTTCTAGGACTGTGCCAGCAAGTCCTACCAGTGAACTATAGACTGTAGGCCAGAAAATACATAGCCTATGTTTTGAAAATATTCTTAAAATATTTTGTGGCATGGTCAAATTAGAGAGGAAAATACAAACCCACAACAGTTAAGAAGATAAACACATATCTAAAATTACATTGAGAACTTGCTTTTGTCCAAACTACATTTTTTAAAAAAGTCACATGCATTGTATTTCTATTGAAATCATGGGGCAAATACCAAAAACAATGCATGCTTGTGCCTGCACTCACCCCATATCTGATTTATTCCTTACTCAAATTTAGAAAGATATGCCCATATAAGAAATATAATACCATATAAAGCATAAAGTATTGCACAATGCAAAATTTTGGTATGCATACATTTAATACATATACATATAATATCTTTATCATGTAAGTACATGTATAAAAATAAGATTACATATTTAAAAAAGCAAAGAGGCAGAATTCGCAACTGAATTTCCTCATGTAAAGGATCAACTATTGCCAATTAAATTGTCACACAGAGATTCCACTGTGGTTGATTCCTCCATTTGAGGAATCCTGTGCTGTGTGAAGGTTAGGCCTGTCGTGGGGAAGTGGTTCATGGTCAACATGAAGTTTTTGAATATTTCTATGTTGCTCAAGTGAGTTCTACTCAAGCAAACAGATTCTTCATTGATGACAGAGAAGTGAAATGAAGGTCAGTCCCTCAGGGTTAGCATCTCTGTAGATACAGCTTTTAAAGACCTAGTATCCAGGCCCACCTGAAGAATGTTCACCCACAAACCAAATTCCTAATTAAATAATGTGTGATAAATGAGGGACAATTTCTACAACAATGGCATCACTAGGAATACTAGAAGTCAAACAAGCTGCAGAATATCTAATTGTAGTTCTAATGTGCTTCATACTGTCATAGGGTTTCCTGCCTTAACTCTAAGTGTAAGAACAAGTTCTTTCTGTCTGCCACTTTGTACGCTGAATCCATTCACCACTTTCCAATGACTGAAACATAGCTGTGCTGAGAATGTATTACTCAGTCTCTGATTTGACTTCTTTTTGGATTTTGGGTTAGTGGTTATTCTTAATCTGTGTAATTTCTCGAAAGTATGGCAGTAAACCTTTGAGACATGTAAAACAAGCTATTTAAAATTAAAATTAAAAAAGAGATTCAATTAATATGATAGTAATGTTGCATTAATTCCTTTTGCCAATGGGAACTGCAATATTTGATGTGTTATGTCTGTGTACTTCCATGTAGCTGACCAGGCAGATTTGGTAGGAATAGTTTTAACATTTTAATCATATTCCACAGTTGCTTAGCTACAAATAAATGTTTCTTTAAATTCATTGAATTTTCTGAAGAAATGTTTTTTTTACAAAGAGGAGAAATTTATTTAATAAAGTTTTCAATGCATCATTAACTTGTTAATTTATACATTGAGCATCTAGTAAGTGTAAAACAGGTCTGATTCATAAAATGAGCTAAAGACTATGCCGTATATCATCTGCCCAGAGATAAAAGTTCAGGGGAACAGGGAAGAAGTAATCACATCTGTAACACCAGGTAAGCTTTGTCATTCTCTTGAGAACTTTACAAATTGGTATTGCAACATGCCTGTACCTGGTGCCAATAACTGTAGGTGTGTGTGTGGAGGGGGGTGGCTAGAGGGTGGGGGTTGACTAGAGGGTGGTTTCAAGGAAAGGGAGGATGAAACTTGAAATCCACTCGTGCTCTCAGCAAAGAGAGAGAGAGACAGAGAGAGAGAGAGAGAGAGAGAGAGAGAGAGAGAGAGAGGTACATATGTAATCTTGGACAATGAAAAAGAACCAAATTAAGAAAAATCAAAGGCTTGGAGTAAAAGCACAAATTATTCACATTTACTTAGTGAGTAGAAGGCTGGCAGCTTGTGACAGGTTGAACAAGCACCTTCAAAAATAGTAATGGAAGCTATGGCATAAATACTTCACATGTGAGAGTAACTTCATACCTTCTTTTTCTATGTTGATTAAATAAGCTGTTCATGGGTAGAGAAAAAAACTAAAATGCCAATGTTATTGCTTTCTTTGGTGTACCGTTTTCCTACGTATCTACCCAGTATTTAATCTCTGAGGTATATCATCTCCACCTATATATAGATTCAGATTCTTTTTCTTAGATTAGTCATTTCTAGTTCTGCAAATCACTTTGAAATTATTTAGTTTCTGCCAATTCTAGTCAGACCACCCCCAGCAAAGTGTTGTTAGGACATTACCCACAATTATACTTACTGATTCTTTGTGTGAAAACAAACTCACTGAACTGAGAACCAGTAGATTGGGTTTCCTATAGCCACTACACAATATTTCACTTTAATAAGGCAGAACACTGAATTGACCATGTCTAGCTCCCAGAGACAGCAAGACCAAGGTCTCCAACTTTTTAATATCTCTTTAGTAATTTTCATGGTTCAACTGAACTTTATGTTATTTTCTCTTAAAAACATAGCAAAAGTTTCGAGTCTCATTATCTCATCAGCTGTCCCTGTAACCAGCGAGAAAAAAGAAAAGCAAACTGGTATTTCATAGACCTTTGCTGTGACTGATTCTCAGGGGTGTCTTTGCACTGCCTTATTATAGTGCTGTTGTTGTTACGATGATAATTCCCAGCAGGAGGGCTCCAAATAACTGATGAATATTCAAAGCAGTGAAACTGAAGCTGATATTGCTAACTTGGCCAGGGTCTAAGAGCTCAAAGCTGCTGAACAAAACAAAACAGAAACTTGGGCATTTCTTTTTAGCAGTCTTACCTGAAATTCAAGCTCACCCGGTGCAATGCGAATGAATAGTCATGTAACATGTCACTGTTGAAATCTCTGTGCCACTTCGGTGAGCATGCCCGGACAACAATGTGCATTAGAACGTGGAGCAAACCCTTGAAGCTAAAAGTGCCTTTTCAACTGAATGTGGAGAAAATAATTTCTATTCTAATTTTATTTGAGGTTTCTTTGCTCACAGAAATATTTTTGCATTGCTAGATGTATTTGATATATTATTTTTAAAATTCTGAGGTAAAACCCTGTTTGTACATAAGAAGTGAAGAAGGAGAAGGAGAAGAAGAAGAAGAAGAAGAAGAAGAAGAAGAAGAAGAAGAAGAAGAAGAAGAAGAAGAAGAAGAAGAAGAAGAAAGATAGAAAGAAAGAAAGAAAGAAAGAAAGAAAGAAAGAAAGAAAGAAAGAAAGAAAGAAAGAAAGGTTTGGTTGTCCTGATCTGTAATCAAACTAAGCAATTGAAACAAAACAAATAAAAGAGAAATACAACAATGCTTTTCTTATCCCACGTATTCCAAAGACCCTAGATTTTAGTTAAAATAATAAGCCAAAACCCAGGAGACTGATTTGAACAGGGAGGCCAACAGGATGCCCCCAGGGGCAATGGCACAGCCACATGTCCTCTTCGTGGGCATTGTCACACACACTTCTTGGTTGCTCAGTGAACAAGAACAAAATCACTTGAGATTTCATGCCCACTGACTTCTCCCTAGGCGAATTCTAATTTGGCAGCGGTTCTGGGGTCTTCATGGTGAGAAATCTGCTTCTGGCAGAAGTTCCTACACTCATAGAAGGAGGAACTTCCATTCATGGCTCTGTTCTCTTCAAGCCAAGCTTGAGATCACATCTGTTCCTGAGGCTCCAAGCCTGAAGAAGCTCTGGAGCGAAGACTCACACAGAGAACTCCATATTTTCTGTTAAATGCCATCGTCTGCCGTATGTCAAAAAGGATGTTCTTTAGTACCTAATGACCCTGAGTATTTCTGGGACTATTTTTACATGAGATGTATGATTTTAAAAAAAAAGTCTACTTTGTTTAAAAAAAATGGTATGAACTACTATGGGGAACTTTTTACCACATGTGGGAAGACTTGGACATACTTTTTCTTGTCTAGCTTGATTGTGGAATCACCAGCAAGATGAAGTATTAAAGAAAGAAAAGGTAATATAAAAATAATAATATAGAAACAAGAATACATGTTTTATGTACTGGGATTAGAGCATTAAATAAAACTACTTTCCCCCACTTATCATGAAGTATTTTAAGCACAAAAGTATTATTGAACAACCTGAGTTGGGATATGTTTTGTTGGTTATTATAAATGCTGGCAGTTCCTTGCAAACTGTTGCAGAACTATTCTCTACAGTTGCCTGTGATGAACATAAAGCACAATTTTCTGGCTTTCTTGGAGGAAAACTATTTAGAATGTGATATACTTACACACCACTAAATGTCTTGTAACATTAAAAGTGGTCTACAAAGAAATCCAAGTCCATGTGTGTTTCCTTGCAAATTTGCCTACTGTCACACAGTACTGCTAGTCAGTCAAAAGATGTTTTAGTAGCTCTCCACTAAAAGTTGTGTGGAAGACATGTAAATAGTCTTTCGTTTCACTACATCAGACACACCTCCAGTTTCTACAATACCCCGCATAAAAGGTGAGCCTTGGCATTGAGCCCTCTCATGAATCCACAGCCTCAGGTGACAATAGTTGATGTCATCTCTTTGTATTCTTCATTTAAATCGCTTTGTGTGTGCGTTGAAGAGAGATACAGATATTTCCCAGGGAAATGGCAGACAGAGAATCAGCTGCATAGTGTGTCTGTTCTGCCTGTGGCTATTTTACAAGGAAATCTACCAGCTCTCAATAATGTGAAAATCTCCTTGAGAGGTGCTGTGGCACAGCAAGGCACTGAACCAGAGAAATTCAATTTGCCTACTGTAAAGTATGTTTTGTCTCTTTCAGAAAGCTCTAATTCAATCCCAAATTACTTTCTGGAAGCAGTCACTCTAGCCAAGAAAGGGTGTCTGAGGTCTGGGATAGGACAGAACACACTTGGGTAAAACTGTCAAAAGCATTCAGCACCGTCCTCGTTCATGAGCCCTGATGCACAGACCAACCTGGGGGTCCTGACCTCTCCCTGCTGCAGTTCTATGCATATTTGTGATTGAATAACCTTCAGTCACTTCTGTCTTTGATCTACATTTACTCTAAGAATACTGAGAGAGCTATGGGAAACAGAGACTACGTGAGGTTAATAATATGTGGAAGGAAAATAAATGTTTCTGTTTGCATTCTGCAAAACAAATTGTAAGTCTACTTTGAAGATGACCAGATAGCTTACCAAAACATAAACCCCTAAAAATTTCATTGTGCTTTATCATGATGCTCATCAATGCATGGTTTATCCAAATCCAATTAAAACGTATCTTAAAACTTGATTAAGCTCAACATAAAAAAATTGAAACAAGGCAGACTGTGTCCAACATCATCTTTGAGCTCTTTGGCCATAATGTTATGAATACTACTTGAACAGTGACATTAACTTAATAACTATTCTGTGAAAGGGATGCTGAGGGGGGTTTCCGAATTTCCTTTGAGTCATTGGTGTTACAAGCATATCTTTCTTACTGCCTTCACAAGTATGTAATGTGGTTAAATCCACAAATGATAGTAATCTTAAAATAGTCTAAGTATTAGATAAGGATATACATGTAAGGACTTCACAAACACTTAGGGTTGTTATTACTATGATAAAACACCATGGCCAAAAGCAACTTGGGGCGGGTTTATTTAGTCGTAGAATTCCACGTCAGTGTCTATCACCTAGTTAAATATTTTCTTTTATACATTTATTTATTTAGTTGGTTGGTTGTTGATTGACACAGGGTTTCTTTGTGTAGCATTGGCTGTTCTAGAACTAATTCTATAGATCTTGCTGACCTTGAACTCACAGAGATCCACCTGCCTCTACTGCCTCCTAAGTGCTGGGATTAAAGGTATGCACCACTACCACCTGGCTTTTATACATTTATTAATCAAACAAAATAGCATACTACTTATGGTGCTACTAATATTATTATGTGTAAAAATCTTCAGATATATTCTACAAAGCAAATCTAATTACTTGACAATACCCTGATGACAACAGGCTCCTATGTCAGACACCAAGTCTGCCAATACCAGCATAGTAAACATTCAGAGATATAGTGACAAGTAACTATTTTAGAGTACTACATGGAACAAATATCTTCTCAAAAATAATCTTACATCTGAAATATATATGCTACAACAATATTTTGGTGATTTTTTCTCTCAGTAGAACTTAAAATTGTTTATGATTTATTTTGGGGAAAGAGTTGTCAATTAAGAAAGTGTCAGGAGGCATTTGACATAGTTTCTGACATAAAACATACACTTTTGGTATTTTTCCACCATGTGAGAATTAAATGAACAACCACACATTTACAAGATTGGGTAATTTCAATTCTGTCAATTTGCAATATATTCCATATCAAATTTCCTAGATCCATTATTCCATGAATTTTCATTATTTGTTATATTCCTGTCCATGATCACAATGTATTCTTTTAATTGCAATCTTTAATTACAAATATTAGCTGTTAGGTCACATATTATGTATCATACAATATGTGTGTTTGTGCTAGTGGGGGATTACCAAGTTGCTCCAAAAAGCTCTGAAGCTATAGAATAGTTCAAGAATCAGAGTCTCTATCATAGGTAAGATAACCAATCACCAGGGATGCTGCTTTGTTTTGAGTTAGGCTACTGAAGGTCACATGGTTGAGGACAACACTACAAAGCTGAGTAGAACTGTAGAAGCATATGGGCATTATCATGTCCAGGTGGAGGGATGGAAAAATGGAATAATGCAACCCCAGACAGGTGAACAGGGCATGGACTACTAGTAATCCTAGTAGGATGCTTCAGTATTGAAGACAGAGTCAAGATGAAGGCTCTTGGAGACTCTGAAGTTCTTGCCAAACTATCCATATCATACAAGCCTGGTGGTTAGAGAGGTCAATGGAGTCATCACCATGAAAAGTGTTAGATGCCTAATTCTTTATAAGGTCCAGTTGATGGCTTTCTTTGCTCTGCTGGGTTCAACAGTAGTCATTATTTTTCTGACATGATTTTAATATATCTTTGTGCCCCTACAATCCCAATTCAACCTAATAAAAGCCACTGCTAAGAGACTATGGAGTTACTAACTCTGATCTCAAGATGAAGTCATTACTTAAAACTACATCTCTATTAGTAAAAGGTAAGACTTATGTTTTCATAGTACTTAATTTCTATGCCTCTTTAGTAGGATAATTTATTAAAATCATGTGGCTGTTACTTGTGACTGAACAGACTGAACAATACTTTGTTTACTTACAATCTCAATTTCAAGGTAGTTAGTAATTTGGATCTATTATTTGGTATGTAATACATTTCAGTAATCTTAGAAAAAGTTATTTTTAACTGAAGCATAAATGTGTAAAATATTTTCTTTTATTCTAAGTGTACACAAACCTGTTTATTTTTTGATCAGCTTAAAAGTGTTAGAAGCCTTCACATACAATAAAAGAAGTTTGTACATTCTTACATATTCTAAAATGTATTTGAAAATATGTATTAGAAAATTATTAGATTAATTGTATGTACTCACTGAAGGCAAGCAAACTCATCCATTAGAATAATTTGCATTTGTTTGTTTCAATTCATTACAACTTTAAGCATTTTCTAAAAGTAGGAAGTATGTCCATATTTATTTAGACAAGTAGTTGTCAACCCACCTAATGCTGCAACCCTTTAACAAAGTTTCTTGTATTGTAGTAAACCCCAAACCATAAATTATTTAATTTCTACTTCATAACTGTAGTTTTGCTACTGTTATGAATCATATACATTGTAAATATCTGATGCCTAGTTCTGTATAAGGTCCAGTTGATGGCTTTATACTCTTTCTTTGCTCATCTGGGTTCAATAGTCAGTCATGATGTAGGACACAGAAGAAGTAAGGGTCATTTGACTTCCC